CATGAGAACGGTGCAATTCCCGATCCCCTGTCAGACGAGCCGCACGACATCCATCTGTGGCTTCCAGTGTCTCCTGCGAGATGGAATTCAGTACTGCTCTCGGGCGTACACCAATCGTATCTTGAGCTGCATCAAGCGTTTCACGCTTAAAGGTATCCCACAGAAGAACAGGGTCTGTCAGACTGCCAAGCACTGCGAAACGATCAGAGATTGCCTCAGCAAACCCGCGGGCACACTCCCCCTCCCTCAGCCTGTCCAAATGAAACACCCTAGGGTGATCATTTGACCGCTGCCAGATCGTAATTACAATTTAAGTAAAACAAAAAAATCAAGGCATTATTGAAGGATATGAAATACCCGGAATTTCGGTGATAAAAAGAATAATCATGTGTAATTCTCTTTTATGCAAACGAGATATTGATTTTACATTCTGATATATTTATTGTAAATTATTTTTTTTTTTTCAGTGAGACAATATGATATGAGTATGTGTTACTTCTGTATATCATCATGAATTATGAGGACGTTTTTAATGTGATTATACTTTTGTCACTACAATACAACATGGAATTAACGAAACTATAATTCGAAAACTTGGCAGGTAAAGGTCCTCTAAATTTGAGCCAGGGTATTTTATTAACTGTTTGGCAAATGACAAATTTCTGTAGTTCTGAAATACACAGAATTAGTCGTTGAATAGGTGGGTTTTCAGAGACAAATAAGATATTGCTCATAATTACGGCCATTTGTTTGGGCTCATGTAGGGCCAGGTATAATTCTTTCCTCCTGTATATTCATTGTAGACAGTCTTTTTATATATGAGGAATGCTGCCGGAAAGGAAATGTTGGACAATATGCAGAACAGGTAGTGCCTGAGTTGGGAGATAAAACCTATCCAAAATACAAGATCGATACAAAACAAATAACTTTTCTTCTATGGCTATATTTGTGCAAATGAGCCATAACGATATAATAACATGAAACGTAAAAAAAAAAAAAATCGAAAAATCGACTCTATTTTGATATTTGGCAACTTTTTACCTCGCGTTTTTTTCCTACAGGGGGCAATATTACTTCGCATTTTTTCTTACAGGGGGCAGCACACTATACGCGCTTTTTTCAAAATGATGGCTGCCGTCTGGCGTAATGCGCTTATATTTCCTTCGTCTGTCTGTCTCTTTCTGTATATATATATATATATATATATATATATATATATATATATATATATATATATATATATATATATATAATATATATATATATATATATATATATATATACACACACACACACACACACACACACACACACACACACACACACACACACACACACACACACACACACACATATATATATATATATATATATATATATATATATATATATATATATATATATATATATATATATATATATATATATATATATATACATACATACATATATAAATATGAAAATATGTGTAATAACGAAAGTATGTCAACGCATAACAAGGTACATGAATAGTGTGTTGTGAAATATAAGGCATATTGGGAAACCGCTTCTGATGCCATCTGTTTTTAAATAAAGTAAGAAATGCACAATTAAGTCGTAACAATTTTACATATATTTCACTTGTACACTCGTCACTGTTACGGAACTGTAATGGTAGCGATTTGCGGTCCTTCAGGCATTACTAGTGAAACAATGGCATTGTGCATAGGATGTGAACAAACTTTTGAACAAACTATTGCGAGATTCTATCAGCAGAACGATACTGCAATAGAGTTTTTTCAGTGCCACGGCGTTCTCCCGAAAAAGTTAATTTGTAAATCGTGCTTAAAAGAGTGCAATTTTGACAGTGAAAGAAACCGTTTCCACTGCAACAGACAATTCACAAATCCGAAGAACAAAAGAGTTAAAAAGTGTAACTATACTGTTTCAATATTTAAAGACATGGTTGGAAATTGCCAAAATCAAACCGAGTGAAAATCTAAGATTCTTGAATATATACTTACGACCAATTTTCTCTCAAAAATATTTAGAAGAACACTTTGGCTGGAGCCCACTCACTGCGGTGGACTGGCGCTCCTTTGCAAGTGGAGTGTGTACCAGTGCCATAAAGAACTTCGGGGGCCTTCTCGGAGAGGGGGGGGAGAGTCGTCGAGTGCGACGAAAGTTATTTTGGAGGAGGAAAATTTAATCGTGGCCGAAAGGCATTTAAAGGCTTTTGGGCATTTTGAGCATATGAGCGTGGCACCAAAAAAGTATATTTTACAAAAGTAAAAAAAAGAAATTCAAAAACATTATCCAAAATTTTTAAAGAACATATTTGCCCTGGTGCCACAGTCTACACTGACCAGTGGAGAGGATACAATGCATTGAATAAACTGGGCTACAATCACAAAACGGTAAACCACTCTTCAGAATTTGTATCCTCCAAAGACAAAAAAGTGCACACACAAAATATTGATAAATAGTATATCATTAAATATTGTCGTGAAAAAAATAAAACGTTATAATCAAATACAAAAACTTTCACGCATACTTTGAATCGCATCGTCGGGATATTTTCTATGGCGCTTGGTCCGTAGTTACTGACAATCATTTTAGTATCTCGTTATTTTGCTTTGTGTATTAGTATCCATGTGATTTATTTAACAAATAGTTCTAGAAATGCGAATTACCGTTTTTTTCACAGGTTATCAACATTGCCGTCACAACTCAACGATTCGTTTGCACAATGAATAGCATCTAGATTTGCCCAAGTTATTGGATTACCTACACAAAAATATCAAATTTGTTTTGAAAGCGAGCCACTACCCTGTTATGCATATTGACCGAAATGTTATTTGAGGACTCAGACATCACGCATTACAGTCATATTATTTTAGAATTGTGCTTTCCTTCATTTTCGAAATGCCGGCACCAGATGCACATATTTTTCTCTTTCCGACCCCGGCGGCTGAACGGAAGGGCCGGAGGCTGCGAAGCTGACTCCCATAACCAGGAAATTTCATGTTTCCAGTCTTGCTCATCCCTATGAATGGTTACTCTTTACGGTAAAGACGCACTAGGTTTAGGCAAATTGAATATGAGATTCTTGTAAAGGACAAAAAGTTACAGTCATTGGTACAAGAAATAATCTACAGACACAATCAGTAATTCCAAAAAAGTGTCAGTGTCAGCCAAAGACCACTTAGTGCTCCTGAGTTTCAGGTCTTATTTTGCCATGCATACAAGGTGAAGACAATGTTTCTTCGGGAATGGCCAGTCACTGCAACTTAGATTGATAACAGATTATATAACATGGAGTTGGGGACTTCGTCTCTGGCGAGTACGTCCGTCCACACTGTAAATAATTACCAAAGGAAATGACCATCAAATTCTGTGGTACATTTCATATATGACACATAGTGAATTTCAGTTGAAAAAATATGATATGACAAATAGTATACCTTGTCTTGGTGATGTCAAGCAATCATCATGGCTTGGGCACTTTCAGTCTCAATCCTTGTCTCAAAAGATTATGCACGGGTAAGTGCAGGGCACTGTAAGTGCATGTCACACATATATGGTTGGTTGCTGCCAATGGGGGAAAAAATTTGGGTATTAATGGTAGTGTTGGTGTTTGTGAAGGTGCTTGTAGTGTACTATGTTTGTTTTGTATATCAGTGAAAGTTTTGAACATTTTTTGTTTCAGTAATGTATTGACAGTTTTCCTAGACATCATATCCATTGTAAAGTTGAGATAAAGAAGACATTCATATACAAAAGCAACCAATATACTGTACATTTCAACCCACCAGTTAACAAATCCAATATATCTTACAAGAGCTGTGTGTTCTATTTACTCTTAAATAAGGAACTCCAGTAGAACTCCATAAACAACATCCACTAACAGCCAGGCAAGAAAAGTCTCGGACTGATTCCGAATTTAAGAATAAATGGCACAGACAGCTGGTGCGAGCCAGATTGGATTTGTTGGCAGGTGGGTTAAAATATAACAGCAAATTGTTTCCTTTTTTATATAAAATGTCTTTAAATATTTTTATGATAATTTGCAAATAAAAAAGATTTGTATTACAAATAGGATATTACCTGCTAGTGAACATGGCTTCCATGCTTCAGCAAAGGCCCAAAAATCTCTTCAACATATATTTTGTAATGATAGAACTTGAATCTCAAATCTCCAAAGATCTGTACATAATTTGAACTCTTCGCAAATACTATTGTCGTTTGATTAGATACTGATAAATGAAAACTCTGATTACAAGATTTAATATAACTAAGTACCTTTGTTTCATAAATATTAGCTTTTATTGAGCATATATGATGAGTCAGTGGTTTAATTATTGATTTTCATGGTCCATTATCAGGGTGGTGGTCAGAGCCTTATATTTGTAGGCTCCCCACAATTTCAGTGAAATCCATGAGAATAATCTGACGGCAAGTTTTCATGATGTCATGATTTCACAATATCACATAGATTTATTTCCCTCTATATATAAGGAATGGTTGTTAGGTATCGAATTTCATATATTTGTATATACACACACATGTATATATAAACATATTTATATATCAAAGACTAATTCATGATGGTTCTTCCAGCCATGGAGTTTGACAACTCTGGGCCTGGGATTCGGGTGCAGAAAATTCCTGCACAGAATCTGGTGGTTCGGCTCTTCCATCGTGAAATTCACCGAAAGCCTCGACAGCATGAGCACAGCAACCGCTACTTCTACCAGAACATCACACCAAATTTTACAGTGACCAATGTTCAGAAGCCTCCTTGTTTTTTGCGTAAATTCAGTCCAGATGGAAGGTAAGTATGTAATGATTTGTATTTTGTAAACTCTAAAGGACTCTGAATTAAAGTTAATTTTTCCAAATTCTGTAACAGTGATATAGTCATAGTATAATTCATGAAAAGTTTACATTCATCATTTATGAAAAAAATCAATCAATCAATCAATAATAAATAACAAAGAATTGGTAACCATTGATTACAC